TCTCATTGTCCTCATGAGAAACTTATATACAGGTCAGGAAGCCACAGTCTAGACAGAACATGGTGAAACAAACTGGCTACCTGCCTAGGTAATGTCTTCAGTGCTAGAAGGGAGTGGGGTTTTCTCTCTGTTTATATATAGTAGCTTGCCCTGTCAGTGTTGGTGGGGGTGTTGTCCTTCCGCCCCCCACTTTGGCAGTTCCTTGATTAGGCTATTGTTAACTGCTTGATTGTTTGTCTGAGTTGGTAGTTCCTTACTGTAAGCTGTTAGCTGAGGTGAAGGACAAAGGATCCTTTTCTGCACTTCACATACCGAAGTCCAGCAGAGTGACTGATGTATTGTACAAGGTGATGAGACAATATGCCCCTCAGCACCTGAGGGTAGCTTGCTAGGGCTAAGTTCAGAGCAGGCTGTGTGCCACGCACACACTCACACCCTTGTCCTTCAACCTGTGGCTGATCTTCTCACCTTTCCTAATCTTTTGCCTTATCTCACCCTGCTGATTGGTAGGAACAACCTCTGCTATAGTTTCTAGAGTTCTCACAGATTATATGTCTCCAAATCAAGATAGTTTCTCTGTTTAGTGTACAGAATATAATGCCGTCTGAACTGTTTTGACTTATTTTTCATTTTGGAATGGATGTTCTGAATTCTGTAAATCATATGTTGGTATACAGTCCTTGATCATGTCAGCAATGCATTTATTTGGGCATAACCTCTCTTCAAATTATTTTATATATTTCATCACAGATATACATCACAGTCTGATTTCTGGTTTTGAATTTTTCCCTTACTAGTCTTGTCTTTAGGTGGATGCTGAATCAGAGAACAAGTAGAATTCAGAGGCAAGAGTTTTTTCTTCTTTCTTAGCCAAATCTTTCCTTGTGCTTAAACACCCAGTTTGCAGAGTTTTGCCAGAAATATTCTATACCAGTGTTTCTCAAACTTGGCAACTTTAAGACATGTGGGCTTCAGCTCCCAGAATTCCCCAGCCAGCTTGGGGAATTCTGGGAATGGAAGTCCACACATCTTAAAGTTGCCAGGCTTGAGAAACACTGTTGTGTAGTCTTCCCTCTCTGCTTGGACAGCCGCCCAGTGTGATGGTAAAAAGGGAATCCCGCTCTGATGGAGAAGGCTTTTATTGCTCCCATCTGTGCTTCCAGCTGAGCAAAATTGTGCTGTTTATATTTAACATAAAGACTGATTCCAGACTGATTAACATCTGTAGAAGCTTGAGGGGCAGGATGACCTGTGATTGGTTATGGAAGTGAGGGAATTTCAGTAATCAGGATCAAAGTCCATCGAGGCCAGTACTATATTGTTTTATATGGAAGCTTGCTAATCAAGTATGAAGAGGATAACCCCTTCCTGACTTGTCCCTAAGCTCTGGTATTCAAAAGTATGTTGTCACTGGAATTGGAACTCCCATTATCTGTCTCAGTGCTGATCCCCAAATATCTGGTTTGCATCCACTAGCCTCACCTACCATCTAACTAACACAAAGATTTTTTTTTTTTAAAACATTGAAAGAAATTAAATGAGAGGCCAGCGTGCTGCCAAGCAAGCGGTAACTTCTAGGATAATCTTTATACCAAAAATGCCTCTTGAAAATGAAACTGGAGGGTGGGTGCAGTTTAATGCTTTGGCTGGAACTGGAACTGCCTGACTGGATATGTGGGCACATATGCCCACAAACACACACACACAAAGTGCAGTGGGAATGGTAAAGAGCACACCACTGGGCTAGCAGGAGTTATGGGAAGCAAGCTCACCCATTTTCCTTCCAGCAAATTGGTGTATTGTGAATGGCAGCCAGTTTGCAAGAGGTCTCACAACTTGCTGTTAAACTTCCATTTGATGTTTCCATCAAAAAGGCTGAAAAAGACTAGAAATCCTCCATTGTAATGCCATTAAGTCTGTTAATCACATGGGAGTCAGTTCCATAAATTAATTGTATGTTGTGTGAAAAAGATGGTCAGGGTAGACTTCTAATTTAGTTGATGCTCACATGCTCATTAAGCTGGAGATGAATCCTGTTGAAACTAGTCAGTCTCAGTTCCAACAATTCAAAATGAAACAATCAAACATAAAGAAAACCACACTAGGAGCCATAGAGGAGAAAATTTGCTAGTACTGGTCCTTAGAGCAGATGAATTTTTGGTCAA